TCTAATGTTTATTGTGAATCGCCCAGAGTTCCCCCATTGGGGGAGATGGGCGGTTGAAAAATTTAAATAAAATAAATAAATAAAATATTCCTTGGCTGGACATTGTTATTAAACATAACTACTAATTACAATAATCTCACTTGGGAAGACTTTTTTTGTTAAAGAATCTAGGAGTAAGGTTTTTGTTCCATGTAGAAGTCAGTTAACCATTGTTGGTGATGCAAGTCTATGCAACCATATTTGATTTATTTTATTTATCAGACTTTTACACCACTAAATATCTGAGGTTTTCTGGACATATTACAAAGCTAACTACAAAATTAACAATTCAAAAAACAGTTTTAAAAAAGGAAAAAAAATAAGTAAAACAATGAAAATAAGACAATGCAATTAATCACATGATTAATAACACTTTCCAGATTTTACTCAGAGATGATTTAATACGTTTGTCTAGTTCTGTTTTTACTTTGTTCTCTCTCTTTCTCTCTCTGTCTTGTTGGCATATGCAAATATTAGTTCTTATATTAGTTTCTTATGAGTTTTCACTGGTAATTTGAATGTTAACACCTAGATTTCCATATGCAAACCTTTTCAAAGTGTATGTCTATGGCTATATAGCATAAAGACTCCTTGGTTTGATTTCAGAAAATTACCATCTATGTAATCTTTGGCAGCAGCATAGAAGTGTCGTGCCACTGCCGCCTTCTGTGGTCTCTTTGTCCCTGTCTCTGTCTTTAGCCTTAGCTCTAGCATTTATACCTCTATCTTAAAAGGTTTACTTTTGTTTAAATAGCCAGTGTTTTTCTCTGAATTCATGCTTGCACATTTTCCTACTTTGCAGCATCAAATGTGGAACTCTTACGATCACAGACAGAATCCCTTTGTTACCCCAGATGAACTCAAAGGCAAATGCTCTACAAGGCAGACAACGGACACTTTCATCTGTAAGTAATCAAATGCTGAGTCACAGATGGATGAGAGTTATCAAGTCCGTGTAATGTTTCAATCCACTTTCCAATGGCGTGTTAGGATGGGCTGCTCATCAAGACTCTTCTTCTGTTGTCCTTTTGGAGCCTGTGAAAGGAGCCTAGATATCATTGCATCTAAAGCTTCTGCTACAATTCCCAACATGTCCCATGTTGTGTAACAGGCGAGGGAGATGAGTCATGTTACCAGGTTATACATTGTCTAGATCCCCCAGGGGATAAGCTATCTTCTCCTATGGCAGAGCTGACTGAACTACATTGTTATCAGTGAATCTCATGAAGGCAGGATACTATATATGGCCCTAGAATAGCTGGCACAGCCTTATGTAAAAGGGAAGGGGATACAAGCTGAGCCTGGACTAAAGGCATGTAGGAAGGGCTTGCCTTACCAGTAAGGAGAGTGATTCAACAGGCCTGAGGCTGTACGTACTGGAGTGCGAGCAGTAACAACATTTTAGAGGTGAGCTGTGGTGGCAGATGGCTTTAATGACTTCATAGTTTGCTGCCCTCAAGTGCAGCAGGAAGAGGTGAGCATTAAGTAAATTAGGATCCACGGATAGAGCTCTAGGGGATTTGCAACTGATCCCAAATATTTCAGACTACAGGATAATCCTGCAAAGGCAACATACAAGAAGTTCCATCCTGTAAAATGGGTGGCTGAAATCAAGTAATTGGAGGAATACCAGCACTGCATTTTTTTCCATGTGAAGGGACTTGTGGATTTCATTTGGCACCAATCACAACTTCCTGAACAAAACTCAAGCATCTCCCCCCCCCCCCCCGACCCCCAAAATAAGGAACTCTTTTCCTAAGAGGCTGCTGATTGGGTATCTCAGCCCGCAGCTGGGACCAAGAATCCTCACCCCTCTGGTTACCCAGATGGCCTCTCACCTTTCCCGTCAGCCATGGGAACACAGTGGGGCTTTTCTCATGACACTGGCTGTACCTCCTTGTGGGAAAACTTGACAATGGCAAATTTTACAAGAATGGGGTGATTTGCATTTGGCTTTTCCCCATACACAAACAAATGGTGACTGAACATGGGAAACCTGTATGCCCCAGATTATTATCGTCTTATGAGAGAAACCAATGCTGTTCTTGCCCTTGTCCTGTCATTTCCATACAAAAATCAGGGGTTCTTCCCATGGCTGATGGAAAGGATCCGATTAAAACAGCAAAGCAATGAAGACCAAGCAAAACCCAAGAGAGACTATAGTGTAAAATGATGAGAAAATGGTGGCAAGGAGGATTGCAGTGAGATATAGTCCAAGTCTAAACATTACAGTACTAAAGTATCTCCTTTTGTTTGTTATATGTTATCAAAGTAATAAAATAAACAAGGTTGCAATCTGTAGTGCCTGAGATGCCATCCTTAGAATCAACTCTTTTTGGAGCTCTGCCTCGGAGGTGGGGGAGAAAGGGGGAAATCTGACACTGGAAATCTCTTCCATTCATCCACAGGAGTTTCCAAGATTGGTTCTTCATGGTGCAGGGCCTCCAAAGCACCATGGTGGAATGAGATTGTGGAGCCATTGAATTCAGTGCTCCTCGAGCTCCTGACTATGCCATCAACATTAGGGCTGCAGATTTGGGAGAAGCATCAATTTGTAGAGAAATTTTCCTTCTCTGGTATAGAAGGAGGAGGAGGAGAAGGAGACATTCAACTACCAACTGTGCTGGAACTCTCCAAGACTGTAGATCAGAATGAGGGTAATAAATTATGTTGTCCAATAGCATTTCTGGCAGTTCAGCTCACAATAAGATGCTGAAGTAATATAAAAGTTGGGAAGAGAAAATTCCTGGAGAGAAAGCACTAAGAATGGATTCAGAGAGTTTTGGAAGAAGGAGAAAGAGATGAATGAGAAATTGTGGTGCCAAATGAGCCTTGGACATATACAGTATACTGTATCTGGATTAATTGTCATAGCCTCATGTCAGAGAGCCATAGAAAGTAGAATCTAAGTGAGATTTGAGGATCACGTGATGTTTTGTGGTCAATAGCTTTTTTTAAAAAAATGCTATTGCAGAGAATAAAGAACTACTGCTTGTTTCACGAAATACAAATCCTGAAGTTGCACAGCTATTCGATATGCTGAGAAATTCATTCAGCCTGTAGAAGCAGAGAAGTTGGACTTTCCAACAGTCAGCCAGGGAAAGTTGCTGCTAGGAAACTGTAAACTTAATTTCCTGTTCTTCTCCTTACTAGTACTTCTATTGCTAATAAAAACGAGCCCTGTGAGGAAAGTAGATTCTAGACCCTTGGTCTGGCATTTTCTTTTTAATAATCAGAAACTCATGTCAAGGCAATAGCTCTTTGTTTACTGTTTTTTCCAGTACCTGGGACTCTGAAATACATAGAACGTATAGCAGCAGCAGCAGCAGCAGCAGCATCTGATTATGCTTGACCTACTGGTGCATCTAAATATTACAAAAAAGAAAATACTGAAATATTGTCACAGCAGTATATAGAAGGATTCGAAAATCATGAACATTTAAAAGGTAAGTAAGTAGATAAACTTCTAAAAGAAACGTAATGATCAATAACCTAACAAGGTTCTCTCAAAAGCAGAGATGTGACAAGTGAATTGAGACCCAGTACGGTTAATGGTTAAGGTGTTAGACTAGGACTGAGTACCAGGAGATTCAGAATAAGTCCACCTTCAGCCATGGAAGCCCAGAAGGTGACTTTAAGCCAGTCACTCTTTCTCAACTCAGTCCACATTTCAGGGTGGTGGTTCTAGGGAAAAATGAGAGGAGTGAATGCTCTGTATGTTGCCTGAGGTAAGGCAGGATATAAAACTAGCAAATAATTTTTTTTTCTGTGTACAGCTTATTCTCTACCCATGAATTATGGTAAAAATGTACTCTAAAATAGAAAGATTGAACCTTAGTTGGCTAAACATACCTATTTGCTTAATCTCCAGCTCCCCCCCCCCACAAGAGCTGAAAATGTTAGACTTACCCGTTCACTACCAGCCTGTGATTTAGTATCCTATATACACAGAGCAAATTCAGTTCTCTGAATGCCACCCCTTTATGTTGCCAAAGTGACTCTATCCATCCCCAGTAGAAAGGTATCAGCATACATGGAGGAGCTCTAAGCAGAAAAACAGGACAATGGTTGACAGCTGGGAACTTCAACAGTGTTTCTTCACATGCTAACCTTTGATTCCAGGCACCCTCTGTCTTCTCTAATACCAAATGTGTCTGTTCCTATGCTTATAAATCTGGAAGCATTAACACAAGTACCTTGTCATGGAAGACGGGCAGTCATGAGTCCTAGGGTCCAGACTTAAGGTTTATGTTAAGAATTTCTATAGAATAGAGGCAGCAAGTGAAAAACCAGGGTTTCAGGTTGCCAGCTGATCATTTCTGGACAAGCAAAAACTCCTTAAAATATTTTGGGAGAGCAGGAGACAAGAAGAACATTTTCAGTTTACATCTCTGCACGATGAAATTGACAAAGCTCTAGTAGCTGTGGTTGATGCTTATCTCCTCACTAAGAACATCATATCGTAAAAGCTTTCAACAACTTGGATATTTAAACAGCTGCAATCAACATACAAATAGCACGATTGCTTGAATGTATCCTGAAGAAATTTGCTTCTCTCATTTCAAGCCAATGTGGGTGTTCCAACCTTGCCTGGGCCCTTCTGTACAGCCAGTGGCTCAGCCCCTCCAAACTTTTGGCAACATTTTGCATCCTTGGGCAAGTCTTTCTGTTGCCATCTTTGCTGCACCTCAGCTAGCCAATCTGGGAGAACAAAAAGAGAGCCACTTGGGGCCCCACACGTATCCTCATTCTTCTATCACTGTATTTACTTTTTGTGATAAGGAACTAAAACCAATCACCTCTCCAAAAGTCCTTGTGTGGGTGGCCAGAAATGATGGGGAATGGGGACAGGCCATAGGACCTTGGCTTATTAGTAGGGGGAATTCAGACAAGGTGGAAGATAAGACAAGTGGGAAGTGGAAGGCACCTGCACTGCAGCTCAAGAGGAAACATTGCAAGTTGATGTATGTTTACAGCACTTCCCCTGGGAGATAGCCGCTGAGATGCTAATTGGCTAAGGGACAGAAGACTTCTACAAGACTCATGGGTATGGTGCTGATCTCAGACTGAAACAGCCCTTGCAGTTAGAAGGTTTCTAGGAAAGTCCTTGCAGACTGTTACTCTCAACTACGCTTAAATTTCCAGTTGATGTTTACTAAGGGTAAGTTTCTATACACAGTTTAAACAATAGTATCACACTGTGAAAAGGGGACTTTGAACTGCAGAAAATCAGACTATGTTATGTTGCCCTCTGCTGTCCTATAAACTCCTAAGCTGGAATTGATTAATCTGTATGACATACTTTTATTTTTACGTGACTCTTTAGATTCTAAAGCAAATTAACGAAATTATTAAAAATCAGTTAATTAATACTTGAATAATTAATGGTTGAATAAATTGATCCAGGGATGGGAACCCCTGGTTTGCCAGATGTTGTTGAACTACGCTGCCCAACATCCCTTATCATTACCCAGGTATGGGCAATTGACTAGGTGTGCTGGAAGTTGTGGTTTAACAACATGTAGAAGCCCACAGTTTCCCCAACCTTACCTGAAATTAAGTTACCATTGCTGCCACCACCACCACCACCACCACCACCACATGTGAGTGTTTGGGGCAAAAAAGTAAGCTGTTTATTTGTTATCATCACGTGGACACTAAGGGTTTTCTTTCCATAGTGATTCACTTTCAAGCTGAACAAAAACCCATTCCTGTTTTGTAGCTTCATGCAGTTAGGGGATAATTTCAGCTATTTTGGTTGGTAGGGACAATGCTGAGGTTTAAGTGACAAAATTTACTAGCACTTTTTCTTGATACTGTCTACTATATTGAAATCTTTGTGATGTCCCAGATGATACTGTATCACACTATAGCACCACTCAAAGGGGCAGTGGAGAAGGGGAACATTTCCACATCCCCAATTATTCTTCTGAAAATCTTTTGGAATAGTGCTCTATTGTGACAGAGGCTGGGTTCATTGCCTCAAGCTATGGCTTGCTTAGCTCTGGCTTAATGAAGAAGTGTTCATACAACACGGTAAACCAAAACTAAGCAAGCCACATTATTGCTCAGCATGATATGAAAAAGTAGTCCCCTTTGAGCATTGTTCTGAGGCATTCTGGGGGTTAAAAAGGTACGGTAATTAAGAATAGGTTAAGGGGTGTCGTGAGCAGCCAGGAGATCACTAGTCTGTTTTTCATCCTGAGGCCCAAATGTATCCTTCTAAAATATAAAATGGGCAGTTTCATCTTCCAATTTCACTGTAGTCATTCCTTCATCCCCACAACAAATGCTGGACCTTTGACATAACAGTACTCATGAGTGTTTACTTCAATACTGTTGGGACCAGGTCCCCTCTGAAGGAAGCATTAAATTCAATTTATTGAATTAATTCAGATCTGACTTTGGCCAAGAAAGAAAAGGTTTGGATATGTTTACATTGTGCTTCCATTTCTAGCTGTATAAGCTGAAGCGAGGCAGAAAATTGCTGAAGAGGTTTTGGGTGATATTACTCATAATGTGCCACTTTATCTACAAAGTCTCTTGCAAACAAGATCCCACACATCAAAATACAGATCTGGTCCAACATTGCATTCAGTCTCATTTTTCATAAATGTAGTTTACTGAATAAACCATAGCTGGGTGAATTTGTCTTTCAAGCAAAGCCATAGACTATTCATGACAAATCACCATGGCTGAACTCACAATATGGGACAAACCATACCATGATTGTATGGATTTTTGCTTAGTGTGTGATTTGAATACAGGCATAAAATAGATGTCCTGTCTCAGAATAGTTCTGAAAAACTCTGACTTGGTTCACACATATGTATGATTTATTTAACCAAGGTTTTAAAAGTAAGCTTCAGTTGGGTGGGTTCATGTAACACACTAAACCACAAACCACCATTAATCCACCCCAATATCTGAGCTCACACAATACGTAATAAGCCAAAGCCATACAAACCACACTACGACGTACCACAAGATGTGAAGCCGTTCTATATGTATTCAATTGCAACAGGAACACCAAAAAAATCATGCAGAAGGCTTTCAAATAAGCTGTGCTCAGTGAGATTCATCATAATCTTCTTCTGCCATGGCAGTGGCTAATGGTATCTTACCGCACCTTATTTCACCAAAATGTATGCAGTGCTAAATCAATTCATCTTTAAAGCACTATATGACTGTTATCTTTACAGTAAACCGGCTTCTGTTGCATCAATTAAGGGAAGGTGATGGAGAAGTGTTGCCATCTGCGCTGTTCAAACTGTTTGTGCCACCTCTGCTTCAGTATAAGATATGACCTTGGCACAATGTGTTTCAGACAGTAATGAGTTTGCCATGCCTTGTTGCACACCCAAGAGAAACCTATGAAGAAACTGGGAAAGTATTATTACCCTGGATCTCAAAGACTGGATTCAAGAAATGTATAACTTAGCCATTTTTGAAAAGGCAATTTTTTCTTCTAATGCAAAAAACAATATAATATGTTTCTCTTTGGCATAGATTACGTAATATTCTACAAGCATATATAATTTGTATGTGTAATTTGATATGTCGTTATTAAAAGAAATGGGTATGTAATATATTTAGGTGATTGGCATTAATTTTAGGTTAATTAATTTTCAGGGTTTTAAAAAAATGTTTATTGTATTACTTGCCTTGCTTTGTACTGTAGTATTTCATTAATTTGGTGGTTATGTATATTATTGCTCTTCTTTTAATTTGTTTCTGCATATTGTTTTCTCTGTATTTTTTTAAAAATTGCAATAAAATTATATCTTAAAAATATCTTGTTGCAGATAGATATCTGAGGCAGAAACAAGTTAATCTTAGACTTCATTTTCAACAATTCATAAACTCATGTTAGATGGGCTCTGACCAGGACTTCCACTGGAGAAGGGGAGACCCTTTAGTGTCCTGTGCACCTTTCTTATGCTTACCCACAAATCTTTGTTCATTTCTGTGATGTAGTTTCTAGTTGGCACTTGATTTCTTTGTGCTAGTCCCTAACCCCTCAACATTTTAGATTAAAAAAGTGGTTCTAAAAATATCCACGTTTGTAAAGTAAATCAATGAACGTTCTCATTTTTTGTTTCAATCTGCACAATGCAAACCAGTCACAAAAATGCAGTTTCCTCTGTAATGCATCTGGATGGTCTTGATAGTTTTCACATTCTTCTTTTTAAAGTACAGTGCATTTGGAAAGTATTCAGACCCCCTTCACTTTTTTCAATTTTGTTATGTTGCAGCCTGA